CCTAGTTCCTTCTCATTCATAGTTTCTTTAATTTAGAAAATTCTTTAGTTTAATTTCCTTAGTTTACTTAGTTTTCTTTTAAATAGTTTAATTTTCCCTATTAATTGGTTAATTCAACTTAGGTTAGATTAATAGTGTCTTGGTAGTGTAGGATAGTCCTCGAGGGAACGATATCTTACTCATCTTATACTGCATAATCGATTAGGTTCACTTGTCTAAAAGTAGTGCGTATTCGGTGCATCAGTAAGCTAGTTTGGTGTTTTGAAGGGCACGAGAAGATTGGGTTTTCAATGGAGGTTAGAACAAGAATTGGATACTAACATTTTGAAGGCAAAAATAGATTTCAAAAAGGAGAGACACCTAAATCCCCAATTTTAAGCTTTAGAGCGGGTGAGTTTTTAGGGAGATAATTAGTCCAGTTCAGCAAATCAGGGGCCATGTCAGCAAAAAATTGTCCATATCCTACCATGTCACTAAATCGAGTTCCACATATACCAAGTCAGTAATATATTAACAGTAAATAGTTGGTTTTCATCGTAAACTGACATTTTATGACGTCATACGTTAAATTTAAGCTAATTTATTTCAATCGAAAAGTATGAGGGTTAATTTACTTCTATATATAAGTGACGAGGTTCAAATATTCCAAAAAAAAGTTGGACAGTTAATCTCAATAATATCAAAAACTACATGGGTTAAAATACCCTTTTTGCCATTTCAATCTAGTCCTTCAATTTTTGCACAGAGCCTATTTTTAGTTTCTAAAAATTATTTTTCCTGCCTTTTTTATCCCCCCATTAAGTGGTATGTTAAATAGAAGTACCTTATTTTTCTCTTTACAAAAGATGCGGAAAATCTACATGTAAAAGTGTTGATATTGGCTAAATTTTAGGTCCATTATGTTAGCCTTGCAAAATATAGGTCCCTCCCTTTTTTTTTTTTAGTAATAAAGGAGAAGCATATTATAAATACTTAAGATCTAGGGTAACAAACCAATACAGAATCAGCAGTACACAAAAGGTCCACGTTAGATGGACAGTCATACAAAATATGAGGACCATAAGAGGAATGAGCCCCTCCTTTAGCTAATGCATCTGCAACCATATTACTTTCCCTCATAACATGCTTCAGTTGAACTTAGGGAAGAGTGCACAAAAGGTCCCAATAATCCAAAATCAAAGTACTGTGAGGGTGGTAAGGATTAAAAGTACCAGATAAAAGAGCATGAGCAACTTGACAATCAGTTTCCACAATAAGGTTTTGGAGTTGGAGATTATTAGCCATAGTAAGTCCACCTTGATTGCCTATAGCTCAGTGGCAAGAGCAGTAGTGTGGCCAATATTTCTCACAAATCCAACAACCCACTGCCCTTTTGAATCTCTAATTAGACCACCACATCCTGTATAGGCTGGATTGCCAATAGTAGATCCATCAGTGTTGAGTTTAAGCCAAGAAAAGGGGGGTGGATCCCAAGAAAAAAATCTCGTAGGATGAAGGCAAGCAGTATTGGCTTTGTGATTAGCCGACCATAATTCTATGACCCTTTCAATGATCAGCTTGCAGGTTCTATTGGTATCCATATCTTGTTGCCAATACAAAAATTGGTTTCTTCAAATCCAAAGGGTCCAAAGAGTAAAACAGTATATTAACAGCCCAAGGAATGTTAAAGAAAAGGCTAGAAGATCGATTGCTACGGTGGAGACATAACCATTAATAAAAGTCTAGTACATTATGGTTAGTAGTGAACTCAAAAGATAACCTATTAAGGATATCAACAACAGGAGCGCAATTACGAAAGGCAGAATACCCAAATCCACTCCCAAGGTATAGTGGCAGGGACGGATCCATTCTCGAACAAAAAACGGGGACAAATCCACCTACAAAATTTTCGACTTGGACAAATCACCCCAAATTTAACGTGTGACGTCATTTGACATCAGTAATCTGTTAATTTGACGTCATCTAACGTCAGCAATCCGTTAACGAATTAACGAATTGCTGATATCAAATGACGTCACACGTTAAATTTGGAGTGATTTGTCCAAGTCGAAAACTTTGTGGGTGGATTTGTCCCCGTTTTTTGTTCGAGGGTGGATCCGTCCCTGCCACTATACTTTGGGGGTGGATTTAGGTATTTTGCCATTACGAAAGATGTGATCTAAGGATTCAATCTACCCCTTTCAGATTTTACATAGAGGGTTATCCGCAATAGCAAGGTAATGAAGATACTCCAAGGATTTAATTCTGTTGTGAGTGACGAGCCATTAGAACATTTGGATTTTAGGAATAGTTGGGATCTTCCATATCCAACTCTAGCTTTTATCATTTTGCATACCATGGGAAGTAAGAGTCTTGTAGGCAAAAGCTAAAGAAAAGATACCATTAGACTCTTCTTTCCAAGAAAAGTCATCAACTTTAGAATTAGAATGTGACATAGGAACAAGAAGGATTCGAGTAGCATATCTTGAGGAAAATGGTATCCAGATCTAGAATGCCTTCTTGTAAAACATCAACAAGAAGAATACTCGAAGCGTTATGAATGAGAGGGCCAAAGAATATAGAATTAAGAGAGCTTTTGCCAACCCAATGATCAGACTAGAACCGAATAGAATGGCCATTACAAGGAATCCATTTGATACTCGATTTAAATAGTTGGGTTCCCTTAGAAACATTCTTTATCATTAGAGAAATTGAAGAAGAAGTGGTGTAATGAACATTGTCAATGTTGTACTTTACAGCCAAAAATTCTCTCCAAATTTTCCTTTTTTCTACATGGATTCTCCAATTCAATTTGCTATGAGCCTTTGGCTGGCACACAGTATCCCAACTAATAAGCTGTAGCTAGTGTTTAGCATCAGCAAAACCCCATAAGAAATTGTTAGAGATTCTATCAGTTTCCTTATGAATTGAGGAAAGAAGCCACATCACTTGCATATAAAAGTTTGGGATGGAAGCAAGGACAGATGAAATGAGAGTAAGTCTACCAGCAATAGAGAAAATTTATGTCATCAGTTTGCTAGTAACCTATATCTTGGCAAACATTAAGATGGGTGTTCTAGTCAACATTCTTAGAAAAGAAAATTCTAGACTTGGAAGTGTTAACTTGTTGACTAGATCGAGAGCAAAAGAAATCCAAAGTGTTCTTGAGATAATGACAATTAGATTGAGAGGCCTTACCTACAAAGATCAAATTATCAGTAAAGAAAAGGTGAGATAAAGTAGGATCTCTCTTACCTACCTTGGAACCTTTCCATTTGTCAACAGCCATATTAGTAGAAATTTTGATAGATAGATATTCCATGCACAGAATAAATAAACAAGGAGAAATAGGGTCCCCTTATCGGATGCCCCGAGAAGGGAGGAAACTATCGGTTCTTTCTCCATTAACAAGAATGGAGATAGAGGATGAGATACAGCTCAAGATCAGTGAAATAAAATTAGTAGGAAATTTAAAGAACATAAGAGCTTCCCTGATAAAGCTCTATTCGAGTCTATCATACACTTTCTCTAAATCTAGCTTCATAATCATATCACCAACCCTTCCTTTCTTTTTAGAAAAGGAGTACACAAGGTGAGATTATAGAGTCTAAGATAGGTTTCATTCTATTGACAAGAATTTTAGAAATGATTTTATAAGTAGTGTTACGCAAGCCAATAGGATGAAACTATTGAATAGTCTTAGGACTTTTGGTTTTTTGGAATAAGGGTGATTAAGCACTCATTCCACTCAACAAGAATAGTAACAGAAGTGAAGATGTGTCTGATATCAAAGCAAAGGGTATTTTTGATAGATTCCCACATCTTTTGAAAGAATCCAGGATGAAGGCCATCAAGACCTAGTGCCTTGAATGGTTTCAATCCAAACAAGGCATCATGAATCTCCATGTCATTTGGGATAGCATCCAACATAGATAACTCCCAAAAAGCCACACTAGACACACCAAGATTAGAGAAAGAATCATGGTAAGAGTAGAGCAAGGATGAAGTAAACAGATTCTTAAAATGGTCCTTAATGAGGTTGGTGATAGCTTGATATTCACTAACCCATTTATCAGTAGAAAATCTAAGGCAATGGATTCGATTATGGCTATGATGGCAAATAGTAAAGAGATGGAAAAAGTTTGAGTTACAATCTCCATCCACCATCCAATTAGTCATGGACTTCATAAACTATAGATCCTCTTCAAGTTTAAGAATTCTTTCATATTTCGAGATTAGTTCCCTTTTTAAGGCTGTAAGAAAGGTAGAAGGTTTAAGGGAGAGGGAGCGATGAATACCAGCAAGACGAGCATTGAGCTCCCTTTTTTTTAAAAAAATATTGTCAAATGTTTCTCTACTCCAAACTTGGATAGAAGACTGAATATTTTTGATGCAATGAGTAATATAATAGCTAGGATTAGACCAAATAGGAGATATCAAGTCTTGAAATTATGGATGCTCTAACTAGAATTTTTCAAGTTGGAAGGGACTATTCGTAGTCTTATACTGAGGCAAATCAAACTAGAGGATTGGATTATGATCAAAACTAATATGAGGCAAATGGGACAAAATTCCATTAGGAAATTGGAGACACCAATCAGGATTAGCCCATGCATTGTTTTGAAAATTGAACTGGACTAGCTAGTTGAACCGATCAGATCGGTACTCAGTAGTAGAAATGAATTGAGTTGATATTTAAACCCATTTAAGGGGTTAAATCGTTTAAAATTGTTCAAACCGTCTAAACTGGTAAGAACTAGTAAACCACCCAATTGGCCAGGCCAATTATTGGGATGCAATTTGCAAGGTTTGTTGTGCCACTAGGTTTCGAACACGACACCTTATCAGGTTTTGACAAATCCTTTGCCACCAGAGTGATACAA